GAGAAGAACCCGTCCAGAAGACCTATACAGTTTTTTTCTTTTTGATTTTTTACCTGGATTACTGAGATGCATCGGGACACTGTTAAGAATCAATCCCACCATCTATCAAGTTAAGATTTTCAACATTTTTGAATAGCAACCACCAAAACATCGCCCTTAATGGTTCAAAGCCCCAAGCATTAGGAACCTCTGACACAAGATTTTTACTGTCACAGGATGTCTAACAGTCCCAGTTTTGTAATCTTTTAGCAACATGGATCAGTTGTTTGCAAATCAAACAAATACTTGGCGCTCAGGCGAGGTAAGCTCTGTCACTGAGCAGATTTATCTTTCTGGTAATCTTCTTATGGCACCTGTTAGCCCCCTTTACTTGTTGCTACATGTGAAAACATAAAATAAATTTACAATTTTGTTAATTTACACGTGYGGCATACAAAAGGTTGCTTTTCCCCACTGCCCGGAGAGCTGTAACAACTCTATCCATCTCAGGCAAAGACTATCAGATGATAAAATATTAAACAGCAATAAAAAACCTCTATTTGGTATTAGATTCTCAAAAGATATATATATATATATTTCCCACTCCCACCAAAGACAGTTTAACAAACCATTGTGTGARTGTGAAACACTGACGCAGATGCCCTCAGGTGTAAAGAAGCTCATCTCAGCCTCGCTGTGTCTTCTCCCACAATCCACTGACGTCAAATTGTATCTGAGCAGACTGAAGAGAGGCTATAAAAGTGAGCTCAAACAAAACCAGTGGCTGAACACATGAAGAAATATTGGGACTGATCAACGCTCCTGAAATATTCAATAAAACAGCGAGAGACTCAGATTATTCAGCATGAATACGGTTCAGCTTGTCCCTGACTGTCTGAACACTCCTGTGTCGGACTGAAAGCAGGACACCAGCTTATGGTTTTACTGCATTACTGGATGTTTGTGATCAAAGTTACGTGTCACAAACCGCRGCTATGAAGAGATTTGAATACTTCTCTACAAAGCCTCTCATGCATTTGGAGGATGACTCATACAGGGTTTAATGTGATTTTCGTGTTCTGCTCGTCAGCATTACCTGACAAAAAGCCTGCGGACCCATTTGGATCACACTTTGGAAAATCTGTGGCTAGTGCGTATGAGCCCAAAGCATTTCTCAGACCTTCAAGCATTTTCCAAACAGCTGCAAWAGATTTGTCAGGTTATGTCAGAGTTCTAAGACTAGAATGAACTCAATTTACAATGCAAATTCATCATTTAAAGGCCTATTTCCAAGTTTCTCTGGTAATGTCTTAAAGGGATGGTTTTGTTCCTTTTTTAGGCATGTTTGAGGAGCTAATAGCTGCTCAGTGTAGAGCCAAAAGTAGAGTAAATGTCTGCTTTCCTCAAACTGTTTTCTTTTAGCAGTTTGCGCAAACATGATTCATTTATTAATAGTTTTTAACATCTTGGCTTGTTTGCATGAGACAGCTGCTTATTGTGTCCCAATTATTTTCACAGTTCAACATTTATATTGCTAAACCAAGAGTGCACTGGGGATGCACGTCAATTAAGCTAAATGTTTTAACAAACAAAAAGTAGAAACAAAAGCAAAGACAACACACTTTTATCAGGACATGTTGTTTGGAAAAACAAGAGCTAAGAAAGAATATACCTTCAATTTCATTCATTTCAACACCTCTGGTAAAGTAGCATCTCATTAAACTTTTAAAGCTAAGTAGGGGCAATAWTGTTAAATTTGTCAAAAAATGGAGGAGAATCTGTTAGTGACAGCCGACTAAGAATGTTCTCACAGTTCACACTCCACTGCAGCACTCCATTTGAAGCTATTATTTTACACTTAGATGGTATTACAAGCAATCAGGAAAATAATAATAATAAAATAAAAAAGTTACTAGGRATCACAAGTGAATAAAGTGACATCCTGTCTTTTGATATGTTTTGGAAGCCATACCAAATGCAGTGAAATAAAAACATTGAAATAAGAATTTTATGACACCTAGGAGTTACTCTGTTATAATTTACTCACAATCACAAATTCATTTATGAATGCATAAATAAATGCAAACAAATAGTGTTTGTTTTTGTTTGCTTCTCCAAAACAAGGCACATTAAAATTAAATATTCACGAATAATCATTTTTTAAAATGATCAAAGTTAC